TCGCTAGGGTATAAACCCTGCATGACGATAGCTGCCAGGACTGGTTGTACGCAGGGTGTAACTGCCTTCCGGAAAGTCACTGGTCATCATGGGGTTCGAAGATGAGGGAAAGGCCCTATTCCTTTGCTCCGTGTAGACGGAAGAGGGAAGGGTAGGGAACATAGGAGGGAAAGTATATGGCATCACCCAATTTTTCCTGGGTGTGTCAGCTCTTCCACCCCAAAATGGCATGGTCAAATTTTTGGGGGGATTGGGTCTCCCAGGACCCTCACAGGGTCGTCGCTTCTACCAGGCTGCAGTCGTTTTACCTCAAAAAGGACAAGAAAGAGGATTTTGACACCCATCTCAGATTGTTCTGAAATCAGAACAGATAATATTAGCATTCCTGAAACATTATTTTGTTGAAAGATACATTTAACTTTGAGAAATTAACCTAATTGATTGCACCCAAATTGGCCATTTCAGTTTATAGGATTCATATAGTATTCATTATAAACTGGGTGGTTCGAGCCCTGAATGCTGATTGGCTGACAGCCGTGGTATATCAGACCGTATACCACGAGTATGACAAAATATTTATTTTTACTGCTCTAATTACGTTGGTAACCAGCTATAATAACAATAAGACACCTCGTGGGTTTGTGCTATATGGCCAATATATCACGGCTAAGGGCTGTATCCAGGCACTCCGCATTGCGTTGTGCGTAAGAACAGCCCTTAGCCGTGGTATATTGACCATATATCACACCTCCTTGTGCATTATTGCTTAAATAACTATAGTACACATCTTCCGATTTTGACCAAACCTATTCTTAATAGTGACTAAGATGTGAGGAATCCAAATAAATGGTCAAAAACCACCCACGGACCCCACATCTGGTGATGTTTTTTTTCCCCGTTCAGAGAAATGTGTAATTGAAGTTGTTAGGTTTATGTCCCATCATACAACCTGATATAACCAGGTTCTGAACACTAGGTGGTGCTGTTTCTGCTATACTGGCTCACTCTACTATCTAGTTAGATGTTGCCAGTTACACATCCAGTACAAAATGGTTTAGATTTAGAATGAGGAAGGGGTAACTCCCTATCAGAAAAGACCAATCGAGATATTAATTGGCCACAGCTGAAGTTGGGTACAACCCTGGGCCCGGTTTCCCGATAGCGATGGCATGTAGGCTTTTGAGTGTTTTAACAATCCATCTTTACTACAACGGCCGAAGATGTAACGTGTGATTCATAAAACCACCATGCAGCGAGAACGTTCACTAAGTGTGTCGTTGAGGCATGTATCGATACTGATAGGATCGAAAGAAAGGCAGCGCTGCTCTCGGATCAGCTTTCGCCATTCAAATCTTACCTTAACTTAGAATAATTCCACATTACTGACGACAGATCAGCTTCTAGAAAGATATTGTCACCTATGGCTGCAAATATTGAGGCGGCTTATTCTAATGCTTGCTTACCCTATAAAGATTTTGCACATCATTGCGCACATGTTGTTAGCCTACACATAATGAAATATATCGTGGCAAAAATGAGACATTAGCCTACAATTAGCAAAATAATACTCAAATGATTGAACAATTGATTTCAATATTGAATTATATAGGCCTATGTAGCCTATACTATATATAGATATTTATCTTGTAATGCAGTCATCTCGGTTTTCATTTGAAGCATCTTTTTATCCTTCACTTCTTTGTAACATTAGCAAAGACATTGGCAACTTTGTATTTGTAGTCAACTTCGTTGTGAAGTTATCTGCGGTCACAGAGAGACAGATCGAATCAAGATGTTTATGTTTAGAGGAGATCTTCTGTGTATAAAGGGAAGCGGTAGGGAAGAAACACATCTAACGAAGCGTTTTCAAGAGCAACTTTAGTAACGGTGGTTTTGGGTAACAGCTCGGAGATTCAATGATGCTCCTACGAGGGTTCTAACGATGAACAGCCTTAAGATATTTTTGAGAAACCGGGCTCATGGTACGACCACAGCCATGAATGGCAGTACGGGAGGCAGGAGGTTTAGGTCGGTAATATAGATCTCTTCCCAAGCATCTGGGTCTAGGGTGTCCTCCTCCAGTTGCTTCCCCACCTCCTCCAGTAACTCAGCCTGATAAGCCAACAGTAAATAGGTCACATTGAGAGCTCTGAAAAATGGAGGCAGTAAAGAGCTCAGTCTTCCGAAAGAGTGAGGCGCTGGTGTCGTTAGTTAGTAAAATGGCACAGGGGGCTAAGGTGGTCAGCAAGTGATGCCTCCGCCGTGGGAGGGTTGCCAAACCGGGATTCCTCCATATTGTGCATGTCCAGGCTTGGGGTACCTCTAGCAAGAATCTTGCTAATGAGGGTTTATTCCACAAGCTTCCCTGTGGCAAGCTGGTACTGCGGGGAGCAGTCATTTTATGGGGCGGTATGAGGGCCCTTGACAGGCCCTGAGCCCTTATAGGCGATGGCCACTCAATGGCCGCGGCCCGCTTGCAGACATGAAGGAGCCCAAACTCCAATGAAGGAGAGGCAGCTGAAGCTGCATTGAAATGCTCTCTGGACTGTCAGACCTGCTGGCCTGAGCGGGCAGGAGAATGGGGTTGTCAGCCCCCATCTCCTGAACTATCTCGAAGATATCTGTGAGATGAATCTCATTGTCATCCTCGTCACCCCCTAACTCGCCTTCCCCTAACACTATGTCGTCAGTGAGGGGAGTGAGTCGAAGGCTATCCATGGCCTCTCCCCAACTGGGCTCGGTTGCAGGGAGCTACCTTATATAGAAGCTTGTTTAAGCCTCCTCTTCAGACCTGCCCTCGTCAGCAGTTTGCAGTGCTCGCAGGACTCGGGGTCGTCGAGCACCTTTTGGGCATGCTCCTTACCCAAGCAATTCATGCATAGCAGCTGGGAATCTTCCCTTGCAATCATGTAACCGCAAGCGCAAGAACGTGGGGGTTTGAGTGCTGGGCTCATCCTTGGATGGGATAGCAGTGGCCATTGTGAGGAACAAGGCTTGCTAGGGGAACAAAGCAATGCTTGTTGTAAGAACAACATGTAGACGGCATAGGCTAACTAGTTAGAAGCTTTGGGGCTGGTGGCTAGCAAATCGTAGCTCATGTAAACAGCGTAATAAGCTAGCTAGTTAGAAGCCTTGCGGCTAACAGCTAGCAATAATGAGCATAGTAGAACGCTAAAGCCACAAAGCTAGTGGGGCATTAGCTAGCTAGCAACCTCATGGTGAAGGTGCAGTGGATAGCTCAGTGGTGACTGAAGGGAACTGCGTAGGGGCAGAGTTTGCTCCCACGACCGAAGGAGCCACGAGGCTGAAACGGTCGGTCTAGTTAACACAAACCGGTGAACTTAGGTTAAATTAGATGAGAGAAGGGAGCTAGCAATGCTACTGTGTTTCAGGTAGGGTATGCTAGTGAGGTTGGCGTGCCTCTCAGCGAGCTAGCCAAGTTAGCCTAAGCTTTGCAGCGTGTGATAACCAAGTCTCAATAGCTAGCCATGAAGCTAGCTACCAACGGAGACCAACGGAATTTTTCGGTCAGTACTCAACTTCTCGACAGGGTCTGAAGACCTACGCTCGGCAGCGATATCCTTTATGGTTCACTTGTGAGCAGTTAAGCAGGAAAACAGGGATCCAGTCGATCTGAGGAGAGCTAGAGAGCAATGCTCTTTGTGAAGAAGAGAAGCGAGAATAACCAAAGGGCTGAAGAGTGACTCCTTTTAAAGAGGTGATGGGCACACCTCATTCGCCACTCTACCTGTCTGTCTCCAACAGACGCTTTTGATAGGTTCTTCCAAGAGTAGGTGATCCTAGAGCAGGGTTTTTACTTTTTACTTTTTTCTCAAGGATGACAACTGATACTTTTTCCACCACTGTACTGAAGTATATTTAATACCAGATACTATTAGACTTTTACTCAAGTAGTATTTGACTAGGGGTGACTCACTTTTACTTGAGTAATTTTCTATTAAGGTATCTTTACTTTTACTCAAGTATGACAATTGAATACTTTTACCACCACTGAGCATTAGTTAGCTCCAATTATTTCTGATGGAGAAAACTGGTCAAAGATCTGGTAAAAGATAATATACATTTTTGTTCTATTATCTTTCAAATGCAAGTCTTTACTCCTCACACAGACACACGTACAAAGCTCTCCCTCACCCTCCATTTGGCAAATCTGACCATAACTCTATCCTCCTGATTCCTGCTTATAAGCAAAAACTAAAGCATGAAGCACCAGTGACTCGGTTAATAAGGAAGTGGTCAGATGACGCAGATGCTAAGCTACAGGACTGTTTTGCTAGCACAGACTGGAATATGTTCCAGGATTCTTCCGATAGCATTGAGGAGTATACCACATCAGTCACTGGCTTCATCAATAAGTGCATCGATGATGTCGTCCCCACAGTGACCGTACGTACATACCCCAACCAGAAGCCATGGATTACAGGCAACATCCGCACTGAGCTAAACGGTAGAGCTCCAATTATTTCTGATGGAGAAAACTGCTGTTTTCCACACCCTGGAATTTCTTTCTCTTTTTTTTATGTTTTAGTTTTAGCCCACTTCCTGCTGTTAAGAACACACACAACCCACACAGCAGTGGAGATGTCAAAGAGTCACATCTTTGTGATGCTTAATGTATTCTTAACAAGTCTCAGTGGAATTATAATGTTCTATAAAATACATTAGAGATTAAGATTCTAAAGGGTCTTGTTACATCAATGCATTTAGTTTGTGGCACTAAACGAAGCTAATATTCCATTCTCTCTGAGGAGTTAGATAGAGAGAGATCCTCTCCGCATATAGATCTCTCATCTCGAGAGAGAGCAGAGAGCGCTAGGCCTATAGCTGCTCTATCTCTAGATATATCGATCTCTAGATCTATACGATATCTCTAGGATCGCTCATATCTGGAGTCTCTGCGTGATCTATCTCTCTATGCTCAGTCGATGCTCTCTCTCTATCTCTCTCTCTCTCTCCTCTCTCTCTCTCTCTCTCTCCAGTGCTGTATTGATAACTATGAGGAGATGGTAAAGATCCTGTTGAATCGTGGCGCCAGTGTAAACGCCCAGGACAATGAACTTTGGACCCCGCTACATGCTGCTGCCACCTGTGGACATGCAGGACTGGTCAAGGTCCTCATACAACAGTAAGACAGTGGCTTAGTCACACTACATATAACACTGCAGCTTTCCATCTATATGTCTTGTATTTATTCATGTCAGATCTGTATTTTATTTGATCCAAGACGATGACAGTACAATGAGAGCATGCATTTTTACTATGTTTTGATCCCTGAGGGGATTAAACCCATGACATTGGCATTGCTATCGCTATGCTCTAACCAATTGAGTCACACATATCTCTTGTCGGTTTTCCACCTTCCCAGTGGAGCAGACCTGTTAGCTGTGAACTCTGACGGCAACATGCCCTATGACCTGTGTGAAGATGACCCCACCCTGGACATCATCGAGACCGCCATGGCCAATCGAGGTGAGCGAATAACAAATACTGTTTTAATATAAGTCTGTCGGCTCTCACTGTCGCACCTGCAGTCCCAGTTCTCTGATATCATCAGTATAATAGCTGAACGGTAGAGCAGTGGAGGCTGGTGACCTGAAAACAATAGGAGGATGGGAGACCCACGGAATAGGCGCGGACCGCACGGAGACGACAAAGCATGTTTCAGAGATTGTCATTTATTTTTACCTAAAACATTTAATAAAGGCATTTATAGTAAAATATCATTGGAATGAGAGGGCTACTTACACAGTGTTGGGAAGGGATCACAGCAGTGATTGAATGAGGGTATCAGGCATGAGTTGAGGTTTTCAGAGGCTTGACTTCCCCCTGTCCTGCACTGAAGCCTAGCCCCTGTACCGCTCAACCCCTGTCCTGCACTGAAGCCTAGGCCCTGAACCGCTCAACCCCTGTCCTGCACTGAAGCCTAGCCCCTGAACCGCTCAACCCCTGTCCTGCACTGAAGTCAAGCCTCTGAAAACCTCAACTCATGCCTGATACCCTCACATAGATATTCCTCTTGTGTAGGTGGGTGAGGGCAGTGTGGAGAGCAATTGAGATTGCATCGTCTATGGATCTGTTGGGGTGGTATGCAAATTGGAGTAGGTCTAGGATGGCGGAGTTAATGTGTGCCATAACCATCCTCTTGAACCACTTCATGATTACAGAAGTGAGTGCTACAGGGCAGTAGACATTGTGGCATGAAGCCTTAGAGTTCTTAGGAACAGGAATGATTGTGTTCATTTTAAAACGTGGGGATTACAGACTGGGACAAGTAGAGGTTGAAAATGACCGTGAAAATGCCTGTCAGCTGTTCTGCGCATGTTCTGAGAACGCCCCCTGGAATACTGTCGGGCCCCGCGGCCTTGTGGGTGTTGACCTGATTAAAGGCCCTTCTCACGTCGGCCTCGGAGAGCGAGATCACCCAGTCCTCTGGGTCTGTGACGGCCCTCACACCCAACTCAATGTTGTTGTTATCAAAGCGTGCATAAAATGCATTGAGTTCGTCTGGTAGAGAGGCATCGTTGGACAGATCACTGTTGGGTCTTCCTTTGTAATCCATAATGGACTGTAGCCCCTGCCACATGCGGCGGGTGTCGGAGCCTGTGTAATATGATTCCACCTTATTCCTATATTGTCCTTTTGCTCGTTTGATGACTCTGCGGAGGTCATAACGGGCCTTCTTGTACTTATTCCTGTCTTCGGCTGTAGCATCAGGGTTGTCTACAATAGCTCTGTGTGTGGTAGCCCTGCTCTTTAGTTTAGCTCCAACCTCTGTGTTAATCCAGGGCTTTTGATTGGGGAAGCAGCGAACCTTCACCGTGGGTACAACGTCGCCAATGCATTATCTAATGAAGCCAGTGACGGAGGTGGTTAGCTCCTCGATGTTATTGGTGGAGTCTCAAAACATATTCCAGCGCTAGCAAAGCAGTCCTGTAGCATAACCTCTGATTCTGGTGACCATTTCTCAACAGAGCGAATTGTGGGTACTTCCTGTTTTAGCTTTTGCTTGTAAACAGGAAGCAAGAGTACGGAGTCATGATCTGATTTGCCGAATGGCGGACGATGGAGGGCCTTGTATGCTTGCTTGTGGATAGAATAGCAGTGGTCTAGGACTTTATCGCCCCTAGTGACGTTGGAGACGTGTTGATGGAAGTTGGGCATCACATTTCTTAGTGACGCCAAATTAAAATAGCTGGCAACCAGAAAGGCAGCCTTTGGGTGTAGGGTTTCCTGCTTGTTTATAGCCTTGTACAGTTTGTTAAGTGCCAGCTTGTTATTTTTATTGTCCATAGGTAGAATGTATACAGCAGTCACGATAACAGCTGACAACTCCCTCGGGAGGTAGAAGGGTTGGCATTTGACCATCAGGTATTCCAAGACAGGTGAAAAGTGGGTCGACACTTCAACCGCGCTGGAATTAGCACACCAGTTGGGGTTGATGAAGAGGCAACCCCCCCCTCTATTTCCCCGACCCCACTGCGCTGTCCGCCCTGTGAATGGAGAATCCATCAAGTTGGATAGCCGTGTGGGGGTATCTTGTCCGAGAGCCATGTTTCTGAAAAGCAAAGATTATTGCAGTTCCGAGAGTCCCGTTGGTAGCAAATCCGCGATCGGAGGTCATCTATCTTATTATCTAGTGACTGTACATTAGCCAGTAGAATGGAGGGAAGAGGTGGCCGGTTTTCCCTTTGCCTTAATCTCACCAGAATCTCCCCTCTCTTGCCTCTGTAACTCTGGTGTTTCCTCTTGGGTATACAGAAAAATGGGTTGGAATTACAGAAAGAGCAGATGAGTCGAAGTAGAAGCCGGAATTGGGGTAAGTAACTGTTGATCTGAGTTCTTGTCGGTAGTAAGAAATAATATAATAATAATAATATGCCATTTAGCAGACGCCTTTATCCAAAGCGACTTACAGTCATGCGTGCATACATTTTTGTGTATGAGTGGTTCCCGGGGATCGAACCCACTACCTTGGCCGTTACAAGCGCCGTGCTCTACCAGTTGAGCTACAGAGGACCACCCATAATAGCGGTTACATTTCGTGAAAATAGAGTCACAAAATAGCAAAGTTGAGTCAGAGCGGCCATACAGTACGGCACCCTCTTGTGTCAGGTGATGCAGCTGAAACATGAGGTGATGGCGGTAGATGAATGGCACGACAATGGGCTTCAGGATCTCGTCACGGTATCGCTGTGCATTCAAATTGCCATCGATAAAATGCAATTGTGTTCATTGTCAGTAGCTTATGCCTGCCCATACCATAACCCCACCGCCACCATGGGGCACTCTGTTCACAATGTTGACATCAGCAAACCGCTCACCCACACAACAGTTGAAACCGGGGTTCATCCGTGAAGAGCACTCTTCTCCAGCGTGCCATTTTCCATCGAAGGTGAGCATTTGCCAACTGAAGTCAGCTACGATGCCGAACTGCAGTCAGGTCAATACCCTGGTGTGGACAACGAGCACACAGATGAGCTTCCCTGAGATGGTTTCTGACAGTTTGTGCAGAAATTCTTTGGTTGTGCAAACCCACAGTTTCATTCCGCAGGTAAAGAAGCCTGACGTGGAGGTCCTGGGCTGACGTGGTTACATGTGGTCTGCGGTTGTGAGGCCAGTTGGACATACTGCCAGATTTTCTAAAATGACATAGGAGGTGGTTTATGGTAGAGAAATTAACATTAAATTCTCTGGCAACAGCTCTGGTGGAAATTCCTGCAGTCAGCATGCCAATTGCACTCTCCCTCAAAACTTGAGACATCTGTGTCATTGTGTTGTGTGACAAAACTACACATTTTAGAGTGGCCTTTTATTGTCCCCAGCACAAGGTGCACCTGTGTAATGATCATGCTGTTTAATCAGCTTCTTGATATGCCACACCTCTCAGGTGGATGGATTATCTTGGCAAAGGAGTAATGCTCACTAACATGGATGTAAACAAATTTGTGCACAAAATGTGAGAGAAATAAGCATTTTTTGAGTATGGAAAATTTCAGTTTCTTTATTTCAGCTCATGAAACATGGGACCAACACTTTACATGTTGCGGTCATATTTTTGTTCAGTATATTTAGTATAGTTTTAAAAAGGATAACTTTTTAAATGTTCCACCCCTTCCTCCAATAGTCAGCCCTGAGCCTCAGAGAGCCCACAGCATTCACAGGTTCCAGCTTTCAGGGAGCCAGATCCTATAAACAGATGTATTATGTCAGCCAGGGGTGTGGGGGTTGACAACACAACTGAGCATAGAGAATCTGAGTGGAGGGATAGTGGCAATGTGGGCTCACAACAGAATGGAACACATAGAGAAACCCAGTGGAGCCTGGAGATAGTGTAGTAGGAAGGTGATCTGAATGACTAATCATTTGATCAAAGGGAATCAGTCAATGTTGCTAATTACTCTCCTACTATTGTTGCCAGCATCTTCTCTGCCAGTGATCTTTACAAAGTCTTCCAGACAGACAGACAGGCACTGTTGCAGTCAAAACAAGAAGGAAGTAGAGTTGAACAGAGACAGGAGTCAGGAAGCTGTCCTGAGTCAGTGCTCTTGGTCTTGGAATATGACGTGAGAATCTTTGGTTGGTTGGTTGCCCCTTATGCTTATGTATCTTGGAGGAGATAAATAGTACACACTATTCATACTTATTCATATACAGTGCATTCTGAAAGTATTCAGACCCCTTTACTTTTTTTTACGTTACAGCCTTATTCTAAAATGGATTGAATTGGGGGTTTTTCCCTCATCAATCTATACACAATTCCCCCATAATGGCAAAGCAAAACAGGTTTGTAATTTTTTTGGCAAATGTATTACAAATAATAATATCACATTCAGACCGTTTACTCAGTATTTTGTTGAAGCACCTTTGGCAGCGATTACAGCCTCGAGTCTTCTTGGGTATGACGCTACAAGCTTGGAACACCTGTATTTGGGGAGTTTCTCCCGTTATTCTCTGCAGATCCTCTCACGCTCTGTCAGGTTGGATGGGGAGCGTCGCTGCACAGCTATTTTCAGGTCTCTCCAGAGATGTTCGATCGAGTTCAAATCCGGGCTCTGGCTGGGCCACTCAAGGACATTCAGAGACTTGTCCCGAAGCCACTCCTGCGTTGTCTTGGCTGTGTGCTTAGGGTTGTTGTCCTGTTGGAAAGCGAACCTTCGCCCCAGTCTGAGGTCCTGAGCGCTCTGGAGCAGGTTTTCATCAAGAATCTCTCTGTACTTTGCTCCGTTCATCTTTCACCTCGATCCTGACTATTCTCCCAGTCCCTGCCGCTGAAAAACATCCCCACAGCATGATAGTGCCACCACCATGCTTTACCGTAGGGATGGTATCGGGTGGCCTTGTGGTTCCAAACTTCTTCCATTTAAGAATGATGGAGGCCACTGTGTTCTTGGGGATGTTTTGGTACCCTGCCCTAGAGCTGTGCCTTAACACAATCCTGTCTCGGAGCTCTACGGACAATTCCTTGACCTTATGGCTTGGTTTTTGCTCTGACATGCACTGTCAACTATGGGATCTTATATAGACAGGTGTGTGCCTTTCAAATCATGCCCTATCAATTGAATTTACCACGTGGACTCCAATCAAGTTGTAGAAACATCTCAAGGATGATCAATGGAAACTGGATGCACTTGAGCTCAATTTCGAGTCTCATAGCAAAGGGTCTTAACACTTATGTAAATAAGGTATTTCTGTTTTTTATTTGTTATAAATTTGCACAAATAAATCAAAACATGTTCTCACTTTGTTATTATGGGTTATTGTGTGTAGATTGATGAGGAAAAATGTGTATTTAATCCATGTTAGAATAAGGCTGTAAAGTCAAGGGGTCTGAATACTTTCCGAATGCACTTTACTGGCCTGGTTACGCATCCACCATATATACTGCAGTTGGTGGAACCATGCTGGAAAGGGAGATATGAAAAAAAACACAACAAAAACAGAGTGAGGACAGTGCGGTTCAGGTCGACACGATAGTGTGAACGGGGTGTCATCTGTCTGTCTGTCTGACTTATATCACTTCTTATCTGTTTTTGGTTGACAGGCATCACCCAGGAGATGATCAACGAGACCCGGGCGTCTGTAGAGAGGAGGATGATGGGAGATATCCAGGAGCTGCTGACTGAGGGAGAGGACGTCAACCACCACGACTCACAAGGAGCTACTCTGGTGAGATTATATATACAGTGGGCTCTGGAAATATTGGATCCCTTGATAAAGATGAGCAAAAATACTATAAAAGAAATAATACAAATACTGAGCTTTTTTTACTATTATATTATTTCATACGAATGCAATTGCTTAGAGAAAGAGATTTTGTTTAACAAGTAATACAAATACAAATAAAAGATAGGGGTCCAAATGATTGGATCCCCTGTTTTCAATACTCCAGCACCCTCCCTTTCCGAGGATAACGACACTGAGCCTATTTCTAAAATGTTTTATGAGATTGGAGAACACATTGGGAGGGATCTTAGAACAGTCCTCCATACAGAATCTTTCCAGATCGTTTATATCCTTCGTCTGCGCTTATGGACTGCCCTCTTCAATTCAAATCACAGGTTTTCAATGGGGTTCAAGTCTGACGACTGAGATGGCCATTGCAAAATGTTGATTTTGTGGTCAATTAACCATTTCTTTGTGGATTTGGATGTGTGCTTGGGGTTATTGTCTTGCTGGAAGATTCATCTGACCATAGCCCCGCCTGGAGTTTGCTAAACGGCATTGGCACTTGGATTGGAATTGGTGCTATGGTCATATGACACGAAAATAGAAGTCTTTGGCCACTCACACCAGAGGTGGGTTTGGCCTTCGAAAGAACAATGCATATGTAGAAAATACCTCATCCCTACTGTAAAATATGGTGGTGGATCTTTGATGTTATGGGCAATGTTCCCTCTAATTTATTTTGGCACTGAGCAAATCTCAGGTCTGCTGAGCGCAAACTTGAACGGTGTGAAAATTCTGTTCAACTTGAACACTGAGGCGGTACCCAATTTAAGTTACATTTATAACAGTGGCCAAGTAGGCTACTGTGGTTATTTGATCATAACGTAGGCCTATCAGAGTGGCCTACCATTTAAAAAAAAGGAGAAAATGCATCCCATAACATTAACATGGAAATAGCTGTTCTATCATTCAGCCTACAGTAGCAGCCAATGTGTGGTGTTCAATGTAGACCTACATTCCATGAGACTTTTGAAAAAAAACATGTAGGGATTGACATTAAAGGAGGTGACTGAAAATGTTGTTGTTTGATGCCAGAAACCACTTTACATTATTATTCCCATACCATTATTACAGAGAATCAGACAAATTATGCTACCCTCTGCCTACTGGCTACTTAGCTTATTCAAACCTGTCTCAAAATACAACACTGCCCCTTTAAGACAGAAAAAAAGCTCTTTACCTGACTCGCTTTTCAAAGATAGCTAGAAATGCACACTTTTTGTGCTCTTGTAGGAAGCAACCAGTCCCCCATTGCTGACTAGAAATAAACTATAACTGGGCTAATAACTCACTTACTAGCAAAGAATATGAACAAATATACACACCTCGCTACATGCAGCTCTTGCTTTGATCTCAAAACAAGCGCATCTACTCGCGACCACTCACCAGGCACAGATCCATATATGGCAATGGTCTATTTGCATATAGAGATACTACAGCTCTGATTGGTTATGGCGCACCGGTCTGTGTAGAGTATGGGTGTGAGTCGTGCCTGTCAATGCAATCGAATCCTACTCCAATGTGCTCTGCCTACAAGAAAATATCTTGCATAGTTTGTTTTGTTTCGGAATGTTGCATTGAAAGTGGCTAATATTGCTTTGATTCGATCACAATTCACACAGTAGAGGTAAACGTTGGGAAACGTTGACAACTAAAGTGGAAAACTAGGCAGGCTTTTGTTCTTCGCGGCAGTCCTGAGGAACATTGGTTATGGGGTTATTTTGCTTAAACTGGTCCTGGGGCCCTTGTTAAGGTGAACGGCATCATGAACTTTACCAAGTACCAGGACATTTTAGCCAAAAAACTGGTTGCCTCTGCGAGGAGGCTGAAACTTGGCTGCAAGTGGATCTTCCAGGAAAACAATAAGCCCAAGCACACATCAAAATCCACAAAGAAATGGTTAATTGACCACAAAATCAACATTTTGCAATGGCCATCTCAGTTTCCAGACGATGGCAAAAAAGCATATTTAAAATGTTGCCAGCAGCACAGTTGCAGTCACCAACGCTCTGGATAACATAAAAACAGCCTGACCAGCTCTGCTAGAGCGATTAAAATGGTCAGAGTGAGCTGTTCTCTCATTTGTGTTTGGAAGTAGCTAGCAAGCTAGCCAACGTTAGCCAGTTAGCTTGGGTGCTTGACTGCTGTTGTTAGGTCAGAACGCTCAGATCAACCCTACTCCTCGGCCAGAGCGTCCAGTGTGCACGTTGAACGCTCCGAGAGCGAAACGCTCTGAATTTACGAATGGACAATCTGACAACGCTCTGAGTTTTTGAACACCCAGAGCGCACTCTGAGCACACTCTGGCACTCCAGATTTAAATTTACGAACACACCCATAGTATAAACCAGCATTTAGTCTTGAAATCTTTGGTTGTTTAGTACATGGCCTCACATGTGAAACCTTAAAGAGATGGGTGGGGCTAAGGCTTTAGAGAGTGTGAGCGATGCTGAATAGGTGTAGACAAAGAAGACCTCTCCTGTAGGTGTACCAAAACATTCAAAGGCCATTTTCTCAAAAGTGAGGTTACATGTTTATGAACTTTCAAAACAGAATTACTTTCCCATTGTTCCTGAACTGTAGTGTATGATATACCATTTTCTAGCTCTGAGTCTCTACTTTTATCCTATGTAAAAAAAAAAATCTAATTTTGCTACATAAGACCGAATCGAGCCGGTCGGTCACATATAGCTCAGTATTTGTATTTATTTTATACAGCCTTTTTTGCTCATCTTTATCAAAGGATCCAATAATTCCGGACCCCACTATATATATATACCAGTCAAAAGTTTGGACACAGCTACTCATTCAAGGGTTTTCTTTATTTTTTACTATTTTCTACATTGTAAAATAATAGTGAAGACATCAAAACTATGAAATAATAATAATAATAATAATATGCCATTTAGCAGACGCTTTTATCCAAAGCGACTTACAGAAATAACACATATGGAATCATGTAGTAACCCAAAAAGTGTTAAATCAAAATATAATTTAGATTTTAGATTCTTCAAAATAGCCACCCTTTGCCTTTGACTGCTTTGCACACTCTTGGCATTCTCTCAACCAGCTTCATGAGGTAGTCACCTGGAATGCATTTCAATTAACAGGTGTGCCTTGTTAAAAGTTAATTTGTGGAATTAATGTGTTTGAGCCAATCAGTTGTGTTGTGACAAGGTAGAGGTACTATACAGAAGATAGCCCTATTTGGTAAAAGACCAAGTTCATATTATGGCAAGAACAGCTCAAATAAGCAAAGAGAAACGACAGTTCATCATTACTTTAAGACATGAAGGTCAGTCAATCGAGAATATTTCAAGAACTTTGAGGACCGCCACATGAGGACCGCCACAGGAATGGAAGACCCAGAGTTACCTCTGCTGCAGAGGATAAATTAATTAGCGTTAACTGCACCTTAGATTGCAGCCCAAATAATTGCTTCACAGAGTTCAAGTCACAGACACATCTCAACATCTTACTGTTCAGAGGGGACTGTATGAATCAGGCCTTCATGGTCGAATTGCTGCAAAGAAACCACTACTAAAGGACACCAATAAGAAGAAGAGACCTGCTTGGGCCAAGAAACACGAGCAAAGGACATTAGACCAGTGTGTCCTTTGGTCTGGAGTCCAAATTGGAGATCTTTGGTTCCAACCGCCGGGTATTTGTGAGACGCTGTGTGGGTGAACGGATGATCTCCGCAAGTGTAGTTCCCACCGTAAAGCATGGAAGAGGAGGTGTTATGGTGTGGGGGTTCTTTGCTGGTGACACTGTCTGTGATTTATTTAGAATTCAAGGTACACTTAACCAGCATGGCTACCACAGCATTCTGCAGCGATACGCCATCCCATCTGGTTTGGGCTTAGTGGGACTATCATTTGTTTTTCAACAGAACAATGAGCCAACACACCTCCAGGCTGTGTAAGGGCTATTTTACCAAGAAGGAGAGTGATGGAGTGCTCCATCGGATGACCTGCCCTCCACAATCCCCCGACCTCAACCCAATTGAGATGGTTTGAGATGAGTCGGACGGCAGAGTGAAGGAAAAGCAGCCAACAAGTGCTATGCATATGTGGGAACTCCTTCAAGACTGTTGGAAAAGCATTCCAGGTGAAGCTGGTTGAGAGAATGCCAAGAGTGTGCAAAGCTGTCATCAAGGCAAAGGGTGGCTATTTAAAGAATCTCAAATATAAAATATATTTTGATTTGTTTAAAACTTTTTGGGTTACTACATGATTCCATATGTGTTATTTCATAGTTTTGATGTCTTCACTATTATTCTGCAATGTAGAAAAACGTTTTTTTTATTTTATTAAAGAAAAACCCTTAAATGAGTAGGTGTGTCCAAACTTTTGACTGGTACTGTATAAATAATGTTCAGTGGGGTCTGTGCTTTTTGGGTACTTTTTGTGTGCTTTTTGTGTACTTTTTGTGTGCTCTGTATGAGTTGCTGTGGCAATGAGAATGTAGTATAGGTAGTAAAGGAGTGTTTCATGTCAGTGCCTAGTCTACTGCGAGGATCACACGCTAGGTGTGATTAAGGTTCATGATATAAAAACACTGCATGAAAGGATGTGTCTCAATCGAAAACAAACACAATTGGATAAAAAAAATGGGGAAGGGACATTACATGATACTATCCCAAAATAACTTTGGTAATCTTCAGTAATACCGTGATTGAGAAGCTTGTCATCCAGCTTCATGCTGTCTGTTAATCTGTGTTTGATTTATGATGATAACAATCAAAGTAGAGCAACACAGAGAAAACCTAGACCTTTGTCAGGGATGGACATTCAACTGGTATCAAGATACATTTGTGCTAGTCTTCCAATACAGTTTAACAGGAATTCATT